GGACCCCTGTTCCAAACCACCTGAAGGCAAGACAAGAAGAAATGGAATGGAAAGTAATCAAGAAAAGAAGCAACCTAGAACAGTGATGGTGAACCTTTTTTGTTGTGGGGTGCTGATAGCACGTGCACGCCAGCACCCACAATGCAATGCGCCCCCCCTGCGCATGTACGTGCAACACCCCCCCCCTTACCTGCACTGCACATGTGCGCGCCTCTTAGCTGATTTTCAGCCTGTTTGAGGCCGTTTTCGCCCTCCCGGAGGCTCAAGGGAAGACTCTGCAGCCTATGCAGGCCGAAAAACGGGTCCGTTTTGGCACTTCCGATATTTCCGGAAGGGCTGTTTTTCTGCCTCCAAAGGCTGCAGAGGCTTTCCTTGAGCCCCCCGGGAGGGCGAAAAAGGCCTCCAACGGGCCGAAAAATCAGCTGGGAGGCGCGCGCGTGAGCAGTGCAGGTTAAGTTTGGCTGGGGCTCGCAGGCCATAGGTTCGCCATCACGGGCCTAGAACTAAGGAGGAAGTGAGAACAATGAACCCCCTGGAAAGGCTTCCCGCCAGAAGTTATGGGTGCTTCATCACTGGAGGTTTTTAAGAAGAAACTGAACAGCCACCTGTCTGAAATTGTACTCCTGCTTGGGGAGGGGTTAGATTAGAAGACCCCCCCCACCCCAAGGTCCCTTCCAGCCTCTGTTCTGATTGATTGATCACCATGCGTCGAGCCAAGACCAAAAGGAGCTCAAGGGACGCTAACGCAGATGTACGTCTTTGGCGGCTAACATTTGTCTTCACTACCAGCAACCACTGTATTTCATCAGCCTCCGTCAGGTCACATCACGCCAGCTAAGTAAACGTTACTCCTCAGATTTATTCCCCTTGATACTCAGCGGAGGATCTCAGGTTACTGCAATCGTTCCACTTGCCCCCTCAGGTCTCGGCTCTTTGATTGCCTGCAATCTGTCACTGCCTCTTGTCCAGCGTCCCGGCCCGTCACCCGCTAGGAACTAAAGATATTAAAAAGGCGAGAAATCCCCAAGTGGCTTTGGGGAGATTTGCTGCTCTCTCCGCCTGCTCTGGGCCTGCTCTCTTTTTTTTTTTTTTCAATCTTGTTGAAAAACTCACACGCTCCTTAGCCGTCAAGCGGCCTCTTCTGCAGGCAGGTGTCAACTCATGAAACATGCCTGTGCCTGTTTTAGTAGTTGCCATTTAAAAAAAAAAAAAGGGGGGGGGGCAAGGAAGGAAATCTGGAAGAGCAGTGCAGCAGTTTGAAAGTGGAAGTACATTTCAACTCTTCATCTTTCAAAGATTGTAACTAAACTACCAGAGCTTTTGCCCGGGAATATATTTAATTGGAGAACGTGATGGATGACACCCAGTCTGTGAAGGTGCTCAGTTGGAGAATCTGATTTATGACACACCCAGGGAGGGTGGGGGGGAGGGAAACGGGGTCACAGGCAGAGGGGGGATCCGACAGGTGTAACTACTGGTTTGGTGATTTTACGAAAGAAGCCTCCAGACTCTGGGGAAGGGGAAAAACGGCCCTCAGGGAAGTTCTGGAAGTCCGGAAACGTGCCTGTTTCTGGCTTCCAGAGGGCCTCCTGCACCCGGGGGAGGCCATTTTCACCCTCCAAGAGGCCCGAGAGAAGCCTCCAGATTCTGGGGAAGGCGAAAAACGGCCCTCACGGAAGTTCTGGAAGTCCGGAAACAGGCCTGTTTCTGGCTTCTGGAAGGCCTCTGGAGCCTGGGGAAGGCTGTTTTCGCCCTCCCAGAGGTGCGAGGGAAGCCTCCGGACTCTGGGGAAGGCGAAAAACAGCCATTCTGGAAGTTCCACGCCCAGCATGGCCATGCCCACCCAGCAACCAGGCAGCGAACCGGTCGCTGGGATTTTTGAACCTCACCCCTGATTAGCGCTGAGGGGAAGGAAGTTGATAATGTGCTGTGTCTGAGAAAGCCATCAGAATTGTCTTGGGTGAGCGGTTGGTGCGAGGAGGAGGAGGAGAAGGAAAACGTCTGGCTGGGAGAGCCTGGGAATTGAAGTCCACACCTTTTAAAATCCCCCAGGTTGAGAAACACTGATCTACAGGCAGTCCTCAACTTACAACAGTTCCTTTAGTGACCGTTCAAGGCACTGAAAAAAAGGGACTTAGGATGGGTTTTCACCCAGCTCTTGCAGCATCCCCCGGGGTCACGTGATCAAAATGTAAAATGCTTGACTTGTACTGATGACGGTTGCCGCGTCCCTTTTTTACGACCTCCCAACAAGCAAAGTCAATTGGGAAGCCAGATTCAATTAACAACGTCATGGATTCACTTAACGAACAGGGCAAGAAAGGTAGTAAAACGAGGCAAAAATTAAACAATTGTCTGACTTAGCAACAGAAATTTTGGGCTCCGTTGTGGTCGTCAGTGGAGGACTACCTGTATATTCCTTCAGAGTCTCCATGGATGGCTTTTTCCCAGCTCAACCCAGAAGGTTGGTGGACCTGGGGGGGAGGTCCAATGACAAGGCCCATCACAAGATGCACGGAACGGGCGGCCTGGCATTGTGAGCCAAATGCCAAGCAAACCGCCTGATCAAACAATCTGATCGGCTCCCCCCAGGAGGGCTCTGGCTTTGCCAGGCAGCGTCGGGGAAACAGCAGCTGGCTAATAAGACTCCTCCATTAAACCCCCTAACTAGAACTTTTAAATGTCCGTTTTATGACACCCAAATTAAAAGGCTGGGCCTGGGCAAGAGGCCCAGTTTGCAGGAGCGGGCACAGTTCCCGGGGAAAGGCGAGAGGGCGGGGATCACGCCAGCTGGAAGGGCGAGCTGTCTGCTCAAAGGGTGAGCGGGGGATAAAGAGTCCCCGGCAAAAGGAAACAGATGCAAATTCGGAATGTTGTTATTATATCGGAAAAATTAATCTCCAATAAGGATGACCACCTGCTCCGGCATTGGCAATAGAGCAACGGGAGAGGCGAGGGGCCAAGAAGATGGAGATGGCAGATCCTCCTCCTCATAAAATGAAATTTAATGGAGAGAAAAGTAAGGCTGTACGTTTCGGCAAGAAAAACCAAAATGAACAGGTATAGAATAGCTGGTACCGGGGCTCAACAGCCTGTGGAGGTTCTCAATCGTCCCAGGTCACCGTTGTCCTCAAGGTGCTTTTTCTGAAGGCAACTGGACTTGCTTGCTTTTTACTTTTGAAGATGTTTGGCTTCTCATCCAAGAAGCTTCTTCAGTTCTTCCCTGCTATCCTGTCAGAGCTGAAGAAGCTTCTTGGATGAGAAGCAAAATGTCTTCAAAAGAAAAAACAACAACAAGAAAGTCCAATTGCCTCCTGAAAAAGCACCTTTGGGACTCCTAAGTGGCCTCAACGCCCCTCTAAAAAGGATGCAAATGACCAGCGGCCTGCAAGGAATACAAATCCTTCCATTCCCCACTATCCTGTCAGAGCTGAAGAAGCTTCTTGGATGAGAAGCGAAACGTCTTCAAAAGAAAAAAAGGCAAGAAAGTCCAGTTGCCTTTGGGACTGGATCAATATCAGTAACTGTGAGAGGGATCTTGGAGTCCCAACTGGCCGGGGAATTCTGGGAGTTGAAGTCCACGTTGTAAAGTGGCCAGGGTTGAGAAATCCTGGCCTGTACAGATCAGGGGAACGGCCAGGGGTGGGATTCAAAAATCCCAGCAACCGGTTGTTGGGTGGGCGTGGCCATGGTGTTGAGTGGGCATTGTTATGGTGGGCGTGGCCTACCAAAACTTTTGGGAGGGCCGTTTTTCGCCTTCCCCACAGTCAGGAGGCTTCCCTCGGGACTCTGGGAGGGTGAAAATGGCCTCCCCGGGCTCCGGAAACAGGCCTGTTCCTGAACTTCTGGTTCAGCCTGTTTTTCGGCCTCTCGGAGCCTTCACACTTACTGCACTTCCCTGCATCCAAAACGGGCCGTGTGGGGACTCCTGGGAGGGGCGGGGTGGGGTCAGCCGGTCAGTTCAAACTACTGGTTTGGCGAACCGGATGTAAATTTAACACCCGGTTCGCGTGAACCGGGCCGAACCGGCTGAATCCCACCCCTGGGAACAGCAGAGACCAACCAAGAATCAGAGGGAGATTGTCCAACTTTGTGCGTCTCTTCCGCCTCCGCATTGAGAAAGCCAGGGGTGGGATACGACAGGGTTAACTACCGGTTCGGGATTTACGAGCCTCCCTGCACGCTGTGAGCCGCGTGCCTGTTAATCGTCATTAGCACACTGCATGCCGAGAAGCAGCCTTTGAAACAGCCCTCTTTTCCTGCTTTTTTTAACTGCAGCTGTGCCTCGTTCGGCAGCTGAAGTTGAAAAATCAGGAAATAAAGATCAGGTAAGACCCCGGATGGGCGGGTGGGCAAAAACATCAGCAGACATAGAACCGGTTCTATATCTGCTGCTCTTCAGAGCTACCGGTTCTACAGAGGTGGACAGAACTGGTAGAAACCCACACCTGGAGAAAGCGCGACGAAACAGACCAGGGTTTGCCTACAGAAGCGTCTCATTTGACAGCAAGGTGCTGTACTGGCTGGAATTCTTAAGACCATAAATTTGACCTTCCTTTCATAAATAACCAATGTTCTCAGTTTATGGTGCAGAGCTTGAAGTTTTGGCTCCAGACTCTGAGGACAATCTGTTTCCGTGGTCTCTTTGACCGCTCAAACACTCCCCCCCTGTTGGGATGGCTCTTACCTGGTGGAAGATCAAAGCTTGGCTGATGTAGCCCCAGCTGCTGCTGGGGGACAGGTAATGGAGGGCCACCAGCAGGATGACCATGAAGGCCACACTGGCCGAAGCGTAGATGGGGCTGATGAGGAAGACCATCACGACACAGCCAGCAATGCCCAGCACACAGGTGTGCCACGTGAAATACTTGAAGGTGGGCCTGGAGAAGGAGAACAGGTAACAGGTTAGGATGCCTGGAATCTCCTTGGGGGGGGAGATGTTCTGCTTGGAAGTGTAATGCCAAGATCCTGAGCTACAAGGGCCAGGAGGAGCCGATTGGAGTTGTAATTCCAGATAAAAGCTGCATTCACAGGTGTTTCATCTGTCTGCTGAATGCAGGGATGGCGAACCTTTTTGTTGTGGCGGGCTGAAAGCGCGCTCGTGCTGGCACCCACAAGGCAATGTGCCCCTCCCACCTGTGCATACGCATGCAACACCCCCCCGCCCCGCACCCTTACCTGCACTGCGCATGCGCGCGCCTCCCAGGTGATTTTCGGCCCGTTGGAGCCCGTTTTCACTCTCCCGGAGGCTCGAGGGAAGACTCTGGAGGCTGAAAACGGGCCCGTTTTGCCACTTCTGGTATTTCCGGAAGGCCCGTTTTTCAGCCTCCCGAGGCTGCAGAGGCTTCCCTCGAATCTCTGGGAGGGCGAAAACGGCCTCAAACGGGCCAAAGATCAGCTGGGAGGCGTGCGCATGCAGGTATGTTTGGCTGGGGCTCGCGTGACCACACAAATAGCTCTGTGTGCCCCCTGTGGCATGCGTGCCATAGGTTCACCATCACGGCCTTAGAAAATAGAATATTTATAGGGCTGGAAGGGACCTTGGAGGTCTTCTAGTCCAAACCCCTGCTCAAACAGGAGACCCTATGCCATTCCAGAGAAAACGATTGTCCAATCTCTTTTTGAAAGCCTCCAGAGTTGTAGCACCCACAACTTCTGAAGGCAAGCTGTTCCACTAATTAATTCTTGTAATTGTCAGAAAATTTCTCCTCAATTCTAGGTTCTTCATTCTTCCCTCCTTGATTAGTTTCTGCCCTAGACTTCTTGTCGTGCCTTCAAGGTGCTTTGCAGAACAGGTTGACACCCCTTCCCTCCCCCTTACCTGGGGCAACCCCTAAAGTATTGGAAGACTGCTACAGTTAGCCCTCGACTTACAGAGCCCAAAATTGCCTTTGCTAAACCAGACAGTTGTTAAGTGAATTTTGCCCCATTTTACGACCTTTCTTGCCGCACCATAAGTGAATAATAAGTTGAGGACTACCTGCAGGATAGCACAGGCTTACAACTTTGCAATTTTATGAAAACATGGGGCTCTCCACGTCCCGCCACCGCCCCAACACACACACACACACACACACATTGTGCATGCTCTGCCAGTCAGATCATTAACAACCGAAATGTATTTTTGGGTGGAATTCCAAGGGAGGTTTATAGGAAATAACAGTCTTTATTTTGGCTTCAACCTGCAGTGTCCCAGAAGGCTTTTGCAGTTGGTTAATAATCTTTCAAGACAATGAATACATAATGCATAACTTTTCCCCAGTGGAACGATTAAGGGGTGTGCAGCGCACTCATCTCTAACCACAAAGTACTTGTGTTGAAAAGGGATTCTGGAATTGCTGTCAGGCTAGATTCTATGCATCTAAAATGGATGAATGGACGTAAGGGGGTGGGTGGGGGTGGGGAATCCTTTGCATACAAATTTTTTATCCCGGACTTCGTCTTCCCTTGCCAAATCCATATCGCTCTGGAGTCCCTGCCATTTCGCGCGGGAGAAGGTAGAAAAAGTTTATCGTGACCTGCTAAACTCACTTGAGGATGCGGTGGTAGGAAACGGGAGATATTTCATCTTAAAGAGAGAGCCAGTTTGGTCTGGCGGCTAAGGCACTGGGCTAAAAAGTGGGAGACTAGTGAGTTCTAGTTCCACCTTGGGCATGAAAGCCAACTGGGTGATTTTAGGCCAATCACCAGGAGACAGTGAATTCTAGTCCCACTTTAGGCATGAAAGCTGGCTGGGTGACTTTGGGCCAATCATCAGAAGATGGGGAATTCTAGTTCTGCCTTAGCCATGAAAGGCAACTAGGTGTCTTTGGACCAATCACCAGGAGATGGGGAGTTCTAGTCCCACCTTAGCTGCGAAAGCCAACTGGGTGATTTTGGACCAATCACCAGGAGATGGGGAAT